AAGTAAAATGAGAAGAGTATTTGAAATCATTTATTCATTTAACAAACATTGACTTCCTAAATATGTTACAGGCCTTGTGCAGGTGCTAATAATGTTTTCTCTGGAAGATACTTGCTGGTCAGATTTTTCAGATCAGTGTTCAGAGGGAAGTAGTCTATGGAGTAGGAATTTGAACTTCATAATAAAGGGCCAACTCTAATGAAATGGAAATTTAACAGCATAAAATGCAGTCTTACGTAAATAAGCTATAGAATTTAAAGTATGGAGTAGCTCCTTGGCAAAACACTTAGCCTTATTTGAGATGACCTCAGTTTCATGTTAATCAGCAGTGTATAGGTCAGGGCAGTATGTACTAGATCTAAATTATTGTCAGTGAGCCAGAAGACGGAAAGCTCGTTGCCTTTTATTAGTTTCAAATTTTTTGTTTATGTGTATGTTTGTACGAATGCATGTGCCCTCATGTGTGTGCCTATGAAGGCTAGAAGATGATGTTAAATCCCAGAGAACTGGAGTTGCAGGCAATTTTAAGCCCCCTGATGTGGGTGCTGGGAAACTCTGTTCTGCTGCAAGAGCAGCGAGTCATTTCTTCAGCAAACACCCCATCCCTCATCGCCTTTTGTAATATTAGATGGTCTAAGCTTTGTGTTCACTTTGGGATCACATCTTGAAAGAAAGGGGTCATGCCTTGCTGTTGGAGGCCAAGCCACTTGAAGCCTTGTGATTGCAGCTGCATCAAGGAAATGGGTTGTTTGGATAGGAGACGAAACTGTGGGCAAGATGGAGCTTGGAGAAGGGTTTGCAGGGTTACTACAAACACTGGCTTACAGATCATATGAGTGAGAAATAGGGCTTGACCTGCTTGAATTTAAAAGTCTAATGTAAGGTTCAAGGAGGCAGGTGTTAAATGCACTTTTAAAATGATCTAACGGTTTCTGAATTGTTGGGTGCTTTGGGGAAGTAGTGAGTTTTCTTGGTGAGATCAGCTTGATTGATTGATTGATTGATTGATTGATTATTTATTTATTTATTTATTTTAAAGGCAGAGTTTCACTATTTTTTTCTGGCTGACCTGGAACGCACTATGTAGACAGGGCTAGTTTCAAACCTAGATCTGTATGCCTCTGCTTAAGTGTTGGAATTAAAGGTTAAAGGTGTACCACCATGCCCATCCCCTGTATAACTTGATTTTTTAAATTTTATATTTCAGTGGCAGGAACAGATAAGTAAAAGTTTCATTGTTACCATTATTTGTAATTATTATATGAATCTAATTAATTTTCCTAACCTGCCTCTATTTTGAACAATAAAGGTATTTTGTACTCTCTGTAAGCCTTTGATACAGTGAATCCCAATTAGGCATAGTGTTGAGTTTAATCATAGCTCTTTGGGAGAAAAAGGCTAGCAGATCACTTTTAAGTCCAAGACTAGCCTGATCTTAAAAAATCCTGTCCCTTCCACAGCTCAACAACAACAAAAAAGAAAAGTTGAACCATAAAAACATAGTTGTGAAATGTCAGAAGGGTATGGTTAAGGAAGGTAGTAATATGCTGGTTGTGTGTGTGTTAGACTATTGTACAGTGCTTCATACACATCTAATAGAATGCTTTGGTAAGGTGAGTTCAGATTAGCTGTTCAGGATTCTGATCTTTCTGTTTTTGTTAGTAATTGACATTTGTTGAAAGTGATGCAGATTAGAATTTGTTAATGATAATTACAGCACCCTCTAGGGATAGTGGTACTAATTTGTTGAGACAAACTGATATATTGATCAATTGTGACATGTTCTATGATATCAAGTTAAGATAATTCAATTATTAAAGATACCAGAATGACTTGTTCTTTTTATTTGGAAATTATGGTTACTTTTGTATGTATGAATTGTATATATGAGCATGTCTGTGTCTATACCCATAGAAATGTATGTGGAGGCCAGAGAAGGATGTTGTGATTTTCCTGTCGTTTTCTACCTTATTTACTTGAGTTAGAGTCTGTCATTGAGCCTGAAGCTGTTTTGGTTAGCCAGAAAATTCCTAGAATCTGCCTGTCCTATCCCCTCGCATCCCCAATTCTGGGGTTACAAACCAATGAAGACATTTTTTGCTTTTTTTAAAAAACATGGATTCTAGGATTTGAACTTAGGTCCGTGTGTTTATACTGGAGGCACTCTTACCTGCTGAACCATCTCCCCAGCCTCAGCTTGTTCCTTTTAAAATTAGAAAAGGGCCATACTATATACCCACTCCATTTAATTAATTAATTAATTCATTCATTTATCTATTTATTTATTTTGATGCCAGGAATCAAACCCCAGGGTCTTGTGAAGACTAGGAAAGTACTCTGCCACTGAGCTACACCTAGCATATGTGTTAGCCTTATATGTGAAGATAAATGGGCAGAATTACAAACATCTGGATAAGAAACATGGCTTACCCCCTGTAAATACCCCTGGGAGAATAAATAGGTAGGAAAAGGCCTGTAACATTGGATTTGTAAGTCCTATTCAACAGGAATTGATTGCTGTACAGGAAAGATTAATTCCTGTGATCATCTTGTAGTTTCTGTAAGAGTGAAATATAAATTATCATTAAAGACAAATGATCCTCATGACATCAGTAGGCTCAGTCAAGTATGATACATCATACATTTTTATGTGAAGTATCTGGAAATAGTACAGTACTCTTTGTAAGTCCACCAACATGGATACCTATCAGGTTGAATTTCAAGATACAATATGCATTTTGGTATGAAGTACTTGGAAACACAATGATTTTGGTTGTTGTTACACTTTTTAAGCATAAATCTAAGTTGAAGATTTTTGGTAACGACTTCTCTCCAGTTTTTTAGAACTTCATACTTTGTTACTGGTTTCCAAGAGTAACTTTACTTGGCTGTTAAGTTGTCTTCATTGTTGAGTATATGAGTTTCCAGTGATTTCCTCCTTTCTTCAACTTATATTTCATATTCCCGAGGGGATAATGCTCTCTCTGAAGAAAACTTAATCCTAGGAACTCTGATTCTTTGAAATAAATGAAAGAATTTTGGACAATGCTACCAGAATATTTCTGGTCCTTGAACAATGATTTTTTTTTAATTAATTTACTTATTAAATATACACTTGCCAGGAAAGGGCACCAGATCTCATTACAGATGGTTGTGAGCCATCATGTGGTTGCTGGGAATTGAACTCAGGACCTCTGGAAGAACAGCCAGTGCTCTTAACCTGAGCCATCTCTCCAGCTTCTTGAACAATGATTTTGAATTACATTTTTTTTTGTAAAATTATTTTTATACATCTGAGTGTTCTGCTTGCATGAATGTCTGTGTACTGTGTGTATCCACCTAGTGCCTGGGGAGGCCAGAAGAGGGTGTCAGATCTTCTGAAACAGGAGTTAAAGAGATGGTTTTAAACTGCTTTATGGGGTGCTAGGAATCAATTTGGGGACCTTTGAAGAGCAGCTAGTGTTCTTAACTACAGAGCCATCTTTCAATCCCTACCAACCAATCCTTTTTTTGGCGGGGGTAGGGAGGGTGAGGAAGGCACTTTTAATTTTCAGATGTTGATTTTGCCTGACTAGTAACTATGGAATGAGATTTATCTGATTTAATTGGGGAACATGAAGCATTTGTAGGAATATTTTACTTTCAAATGTCTTAATGTATTCACTGTCTAACAGGCAGTTTGATAAAGTTGAAATCGGTGTAAGTGATGTAGTGTTCTTTACAAAGAAGCATTCAGGGAGTCTCAGATAAGGTTTTCTTTTCACAGGTCAGGATAATCTTGATAAGGAATTTCTGCTGTCCTCATCAGCAATCTTAAGTTGGTTTGCCTGCCATGGAAGAGTATATGTCTGCGATTTTTAAACAGCAAAGCTTCAAAATAAATAGGTTCTGTGTTCTTAATAATCTTCTGCTATTTTCAGTCTTAGGACACTCCAAAGTTGTTCTTTATTTTCTTTTCCTTTTGTTAAAAAGTAGAAAAATGTGACTTGCTGTTCTCTGTAACATTAGTGTTACTTAGTATGTATTTCAAGATGATCCTGTCTGGGTCATCCGCCACAGTGAAATTTAATCTTGTACTTTTCCCACTTAATCCCAAATAAGGGAAATGGAAGAGGAGGCATGCAGTTACAGATCTCTTTGAAACCTGATAGTATGATTTTTTTTTATTTTGCTGGAGGATAGCTCAAGGTTTCAGTTGAAATGAAGATTGTTTAAAGAAATATCTTAAGCATGATATTAAAAAAGGGTTCATCTTAGTATATATAAAATAAAAACAGGCAGAGAATGCATAATTTTCATGGAATATTAGACTTGGAAAGAAACAATAGAGATCATCTAGTCCAGCCTCCTACTGGTGAATAAACACTCATTTTGTGTTTATAGAAAAAACTATTTGATGTTGGAAACAGGAATTTGGGTTTGAAAATACTTTGTTACCTAATTTTCTGCTTTGTCTATTGGAGATTTTTTTCCTAGTTGCATTATATCTTAATTCAAGTTTTGTATCTATAAAATTGTAAATTCATATTTGTATTTAGGAAGGTTGTACGACTTTTTTATGTCATTGAATGAGTCATGCATACTAAGATAATGCTTTCAGATGCTGAAGTGATTAACTTTTAGACCCCTACTTGAGTATTATGCAAGTAAGAGTTTAAAATAGTAGAAACATACAGTTTTGCATCTCTTCAGAAATGCCACTCTGCAGGTTCTGTCTGGGTCAGAGCTTTTCTTACTTGTTTTGAATATTCTACCAAAAATATATGAATATATATACATATGTTTGGGTATTGTAGTCAAATGCTTTTGGGGTTATCTATAAATTTATATTGTTACTTTTCTTTTGTATTTTTGTTTCTAACTGTTAAAAATTTGGGTGATAATGTCCTAGTTTTGTAGTTTAAAAGAATCAAAGGAATGATGTTTGCTGTCTTGAAAAAATAAAAGTCGTAAAAGGCTGTTCACTAAATATTGTGAAATCAGCTTTCCACCCAGGGAGCTAGGCTTGAAATTAGACTGTTGCTTTAGTTTACAAATGAAAATGAGAGCTAAATTTTCTTAGAGTTCAGCTGTGTTAGCTTTCACTGTCCATTTTATCTTCCTTATTGATACTATGCTACATCTTTGCAGCTTTGTTCACATGGGTACCTATTAGATTGAGTTGCCTTGATTTGAGCAGATTACCACTGATAGAAACTTGGTAGCATAGACTGTTTTGTTTTGAGTAATGTATATAGTTAGCTTAGCCATTTTTTTGTGAGCATAGACATGATGTAATCAACATTGAGGAAAAGGAAACATGAGATACAGTGAAGGAAAATAGCTGCATAATTGGCTGGATATATTTAATACATTAAGAAGTGGGATGGAATAGGTGAGTCTTATTCTGTCAGCCCTGTTTCAGAGATTTGAAAATTGTCAATGCTTTGTCCATTGATATGAATATCTAGGTCAGTCCTGTGTGGACTCTTAGAGACCACAGGAGTTGAATGTTCAGGAACAGTCTTGTCAAAATTCTCCATCTTGACCTGATACTCACCTTTGGAACCTCGAGTTATCAGAGCTGCAAAATGGTGATGTAACATGATCTCAGAGGGTAGGTAGGATGTCCTTCTTTGACAGATTTCCCCAGTGCCTTCTTGCATTGCTGAGAGGAACACAACTAATTCAAAGTGTGGAGGGTTCTCATGCTGGAGCAGGGTACCTAGAGGACTTGCTGGTGTGATGGTATGGTAGTAGGTTAGTGGGAAGATGAAGAATGGACATTCCTCAGAACTGATGCCATCAAGGTGGAAGTCCACACTGGTCTGGTAGAGTTCACCATTTTCTCTTTCCTGGTATAGTACAGCTGAGACCCGAACACTGGTCAAAGGGCTGGGCCGGATGTTGGCCACTTGGAAGATAAGATTAGGTTTGCCATCTTTGTGAGCTACCACTGCTAAGTCAGTGAAGCGAATTGAGAAAGCTCTGTTTTTTGGCCGTGCAATCTTCGCCACAAAGGCACCTAAATTAAAAAACCATTGAGATATTTTTGTTTTATTTTGTTGTTTCAAAGAACAGAAAACTTTAAATCTCAATACCTTTTCTGAATGGGAAAAGTATGCCAAGTAGTTACATATTTCTCACTCATTCCTCTCATTCTGCTGAGTAAGGAATTTATACCATTGTTCATTTAGATAATCTTACTTATCTGAATTTTTGAGAGTATATGTAACATTTCTGTTAAGAACCAACAAAAAGCCCATGATTTCAAAACAACTGTAAGAAAAATTTGATTTGTTAGGAAGAAATGTAAAACTTTATCTTGTAAGTTACAAAGATCAAGAACTGATAATTTTCTATATTCATGCTCTTATTTACAAAAAAGTAATAGAAAATAAATTCAGTATGGTAACAATTGTACAACTTTGAGTAAAGAATAGATTCAGAGCTAAGTGATTAGAAAAGGCTGGAAGAAGGGTAATGTATTAAAGAATGTTTCACTTTGAAGTTTCTAGTAGGCTGTTTTTGGGAAGCTTGCCTTCAAGTGATTCAGTATATTTTTTAAGTGCATACTTACTGTGTACCACTCACAGCTATAGATGGGGGTTTCCTTAACCTTTCCTGTGCCTCAGAGCCTGTTGCCTGGCTGGTGAGGCGTATTCAATCCTTATAATTATATATATATACATATATGTATACCTATATAGTTTATATATGTATATAATTTATTTTATGCATTATGATTGTTTTGCTTGCATGTTTGGTATTTGTTCACTGTATGTGTGCCTGGTGTCTGAGGAGGCTAAATAGAAGAAGGCATTGTTGTAAGCCGCTGTATGTTTTCTGGGAATTGAGCTTAGGTCCTTTGTAAAAAGAGCAACAGGTGCTTTTAACCACTGAGCTATCTCTACAGACCCCATAATTATGTTGTAAGTGCTTAACTGTTAATATATATTGAAATTCAGTTAGCATTTGTAGAAGTGTACAGTATTACATATGCTGTATCAGTGCATTAACAACATCTAGCAGTGGGTTATACTGTAATTCTGAAGTATTGTAGTTAACTTGAAATACCTGATTCTGTTTATACCACACTTACTGGTAGTGTGTGGGTATCCATCTATCCATCTACCAATCTCTCCATCCATCTATTTGTCTCTGTATAACTTAAAATGCATATCATACATATTTATGTACAACTTCATAATTGAAGGAAATGGCAGATTTAGTTAGGGGTTAAGTGCAAAAATTTAAACATTTTCCCATCTAAACACATAGATTATCTTAAATTTATCTAAGAAAGGAGCCAATGTAAATATACTTATAGAAGTTAAGTGATTTGTTACAAAGATGTAGAGCCAGTTGGTAGCACAGTGGGTCATCTTTCATGATGTTCAGTGCTTATCTATTAGTCTATTAGTATGCTTTTTTTGTGTATGCTACAAAAAAAAAAGAACCAGCACTGTTAGAGGGAAGAGTCTTGTGTGTTACCAGACATATAGGTAAATATTTATGGCCATATTCCCATTGCAATTTGTGTATATCTTTAACTTTAAAACATGGTGCTGAATGTGCTGCTGGGGGCTTGTGTTGAGTACATGGTGATCTCAGAGGAGAATGTTCTACCATGAGAAAGAAGATTAAGAAGTCAGCTTCTTCTGTCAGGGAGCATGACTGTTAAAATTTGTGTTTAATATACTTACTCACATACTTAGCAAAATAACTTCTGTGTGAATTACTTTTAGGTTTTTTTGTTATTAATTTTGCATAGTATATTCCTGCAAGTTAATGATATGGTCCTTTTTTCTTACATAGTTCTAGTATTCTTTATATATTTCTATTGTTTGTTCCTAGATTCTTTTCTTTCTCTCTTATTACCTACTTAAAATAATACAAATAAATTGTTTATAGCAGACCTGCCTATAACCAACTATATACTTTATAAAAGGCTTGTAGTATTTTTTTTCTTAAAAAAAATAATTACCTGTGATAAAAGCCTCTAGCATGAGGCCTAGGAGCATTTGTATGGCAAGTAAGGCGATTGCACTTGGACAGTCACCACTGGGGAACATGGTACCGTAACCAATTGTAAGTTGCGTCTCCAGGGAGAAGGAGAATGCAGCTGTGAAACTGGTGATGTACTTCACACAGATAGTGTGGTTTTCAGGTGGGTCGTCGTGATCTATTTCCAGATCACCATTCATCTCAGCTAGAACATACCAGAGTACTGCAAAGACAAGCCAGTGGACAACAAAAGAAGCAGAAAAGACCAGCATCATCCAGCGCCAGCGCATGTCCATTAGGATTCCCCATGCATCCCGAAGATAAGCAAGACCTCTTTGAGCACCATCCATTTGAAGTGTGCTGTGGCCATCTTTTGTGACCATCCTCCGGTATCTTTGACTTAGAAGAGGAGCGTTAACTTTACAATTACTGCTGTCCATCTCAGACTGCACTTCTCTGAAATAAGAGTAAAGCAGTTAACTTAGCTGACTTAGAGTTCATATTCATGAGTTCTGAAGCGTTCTCATAGTATTTATGTAAGAGGGTAATTACTGGTCAAACCATTTATTTATTAACTGGTTATGTATTATTTTAGGATATTTCTTACACTTTCCTTGAGTGACTATAAAAATACCATTTGATACTTTGTTTTCTAAATATATATTTGAGTTCCAGAGGGTGAGGCATATGATTTATGCTTTTTTTAATACCTACATTTATCTTTGCACAAAGGGAAACATTAAGTATTTATTGAGTTAACTAAATATTATTTCTAAATAAACAATTTCTTTAAAATTTGCTGATAATTATGAATAATTATATTATTATAGTTAAGCAGACTAAATTTAAATTTATAAGTATTCTATTCTTTAAATAAGTACAAATCATTGAAAGTTAGTCTACAGTACTTTGTTTCCTTGCAGTTGCTGGTAATTAAATCCAGAACTCTGGACCTTGGGCTTGCTAGACAAGGACTCTATATTGATCTAGGTCCCCAGCACTCTGCATATGTTTTGATGTCAGACTTAATACTAGGTCAAGATTTATTTATGTTAATCTTTTAGGGATTCACAGGTTCTTTTATCCATCCGTCCGTCCGTCCATCCATCCATCCATCCATCCATCCATCCGTGTTGTGTGGTGTATGTTTGTTGTGGGGTGGGTGATAATGTGTTCCATGGTGTTCTTTTAAAGGGCAGGAGACAATCTGGCAATCAGTTCTCTCCTTCTACCTTGTGGGTTCAAGCTCAGGTCATAGTCTTAATGACACTCACTTTACCAAGTACACCGTCTCACTGGCCCCAGATACACAATTTTTTATTTATTTATTTATTTATTTATTTATTTATTTATTTATTATGTATACAACATTCTGCCTCGATGTATGCCTGCACGCCAGAGGAGGGCGCCAGATCTCAGTACAGATGGTTGTGAGCCACCATGTGGTTGCTAGGAATTGAACTCAGGACCTCCGGAAGAGCAGTCAGTGCTCTTAACCTCTGAGCCATCTCTCCAGCCCCAGCAGATACACAATTTTAATGTATTCCTTAGAATTAGCCTATTGAGAACTTTGTGAGTAAGTTTTATTTTGCCATTGTGGATATATTGATATAGTCTTTCTGTCCTGGTTGATGGATGGATAGCTGTGGGGCACACACATTCTTGGTTCATACTAAATCATTACAAAATACGAAATTCCTGCCTGGAACTCATTGGTAAAGCACCCATCTAACATATGTAAGGCCTTTGGTTCAACCCCCAGTATAACTTCTACACTTTCCAACTTGATGTATCCAGATAACACCCTTTGCCCCTGGTACTAGGAATGGACTCTGGAGCCTTATGCATGCTAGGTAACCTCTTTCCTACTGAGCCCTCCTTCCAGCCTTAATAATGGTAGTTTTGAGAATAAGTAAACCAGAAGAAAAAAATTTAAACATTTAACAAGCAAAAATAAACAATAAAAATTCAGATGACAATTTTTGTGATCAGTTTTCATGATGGGATAGGCTTTCCCCTATGTTGTTAATAGATATCTAATGTATTACCAACCTTGGACAAAGTAAGTATATATATATATATATATATCAGGAGTTTTTAAAGTGACTCTCAGGAACAAATCAAGGAAGATGGCCTGCCTCTCTTTCTCTAAAGGCACTTCTTCCAAAATAGATACCTTGAGAGTACTGCATACCCACTTACGTTCCTCTTGCCCTCTCCCCACTCCCCCATTTTTGTTTCCTTAGGTAGCATAAGTTGGTGAACTTCAGCTTCTCCTGCTTAGTCTTCTCAGTTCTAGAATTACAACATGTGCTATCATGCCTTGCTGCTTTCTCCTCCTTGATACTTAAGAAGGTGGAGTGATATTGGGGTTTACTGGATTGGTCTGTCTAGGGACTCTGGGGTTTTAGAGACTTTTTCTGTTACTGGGTTTGGACATTGGACAGCTAGGCATGTGTGACTTTGTCTTTTGTCCTGAGGCTATTGTAATCTTTATTGGTAAAACCTGGGCTATTTTTCTTCTGTATTTTTCTCAGTTTTGAGCTACATCTGATTGAACACTGGATAGTTAATCAGTTTAGATAAGAGCTCATTTTAGTTTCATGTGGTAGAGTTTAAAAAACAAAACTTCTTGTTGTATCACTTATTGCCCTATCAAGTTGTTATATCATTAAGAGTGTATTTTTTTGTTGTTTGGCAAGTGCTGACAAGTGAGCCATACCTCAGCCCATATTTAATGCTCCTTATTTTGCTAGATTCTTAAAATATTTTAGAAGACCTGTTTTCTTTCCTTTTAGGGACAACAAAACCTTTATAGATTCTGTGCTAGGTACTTCATACTGTCTACCTACCCCTCCCTCTCTCTGTTTTGTTTTTTTTTTTTAGGAGCCACAAAAGTATATAGAAAGGCAAGAGATTATACACATTTCATGAGAGCTTTGGATTATTTGCCTAGTCTGGTTAATAACAGTTAATTTACATTTAATTTTTTCAGCATTCATGCTATATTATATTCTAAAGCTGATCTCTGATGGTTTCTAACACATTTAGTAGATGTTCTTCTTGCTCCTGTTACTGAAGTAACTAGTTTAAACCATGTCTGCTCTATTCATGATTCTTAATGGTGGTAATGATTTATAATAGTAGCTGATATATATTGTTTATCCTGTGCTAGGCACCATTCCAAATTCATGGGAGGCTAAAAGGCAATGCATTGCGTAAGATAAATTCAGTATTAGTTGCTTTATTGTCACTGATAATGCTTCTTAACTTTTATAGTAATAACTACTGATAGTATTCCCATTTTGTAATGAAAGTGAGGCACGATAAATTTTCCAAAATCATACATTTAGCAGTTACTGAGTGTTATTCTCAAGCATACCAGAATTCAGAATTATTGCTAAAAGCCAAGACATTTGACTCTGGTTAGCCTTTGTGAGCAATACTTTGTTCAAGAACCACCATAGGGGCTAGGAGTGGCAGTACATGCCTTCGCTCTCAGCACTCTGGAGGCAGAAGCAAGAGAATCTCCAGCCTCATCTGCATAGGCCAGCCAAGACTACATAGTGAATTAAAAAAAGGCAAAAAGAAAACAAACAGAAAAACAGGAGCCACTAGATATTGGTACTCCAGGAATCCTTATTGTGTTTAAGAAATAGATCTTTAGTTAAGGAAGACTTCTTTTTTAAGACTTAAAAATAAGCATAATCAGAATTATTATAAAATACAGTACAGTAAAGCAATCTGAAGAGGGACATCTTATGCAGCATTGCTTTGAACATACCTTGGCAGATAAGAAGATATTTAAAAATTATGCTGTTAACATATTTTTATAAAAGAAATGGTTTTGACACAAGGAGGAAGGCTACAATGGAGCTGTCAGACTTAGTTGTTCTTGTGTCTGTGGAAATGCCTCTTGTGGGACTGGACACTGGTAATTGAGCCTTTGGAGCCATTGTCCTAATGAAGTACACTAAGGGCTCCCTGCTTTACAGAAGCAGAGCTGATCAAGTTCACCCTTGCTTAAGTCTTGATGGCTATAGAACCCTGTAACTGGAAGGAGAGCCTTTCTATGCACACATTATGCTTCATCATTATTTTCACTTGGGTCTTTTTATGATTTCTTTTGGTTATTTCAGGTTTTGTAGCAACATTATCTAGGCTCTCTACAATTTCATTTTTCCCCTTCTAGCAACCAAATAACATGGAAAAAGTCATGGGCAGGGCAGTCAAAAGGCCAGTATCCAAACAGTGAAGCATTTTTAGTTTTGTTTTCCCCCATGAAACCTTGTTGACTTTTGTTTGGATCATGTTGGGAAGTAGTTGAGAGAAGTAAAATTTTGATCATCAGTAGATTACCTTGATGCATTCATATAGTCAAGTTACTGCCGTGCAGTGCAAAGAATAGGGATACGCATAGGGAGCATGGCCTGGAGGCGCTGGCTCTGTTTATACAGAGCTCTGTCATTTTGGGCAAGCTACCATGTCCCCTTGGTCAGATTTTTTAAATTAAAGCAAAGAATGTGGTTAAAAGAGATTAAATAACATATTCCCTTAAAGTCTACCTGCTAGTTTTTAAGTTTATGTCTAGTTTCTCAACTGATATGTGTTTCCTCTTGATAGTTCCTGCATGATTTTATGTGTGCTTATATGGTTTAAAATTTTCATTGCTGTTGGTTGATATTTATAGGATTTTCCCCCTTCTAATGTAAATGTCTGACTAGTAGACAAATGATTTTTACATTCTCACAGGCACATGGGGGCATAAATATCTCCTTGTCTCCTTCCCTCCTTTCTTTTTCTCTTCTTCCCTCCCTCCTTTACCCCTCTTTTTGTGACTGGTTTCGTAGAGCCCAGGCTGCTCTCAGCCTCAGCAAGTGTAGCCAGATGTCTTTGAACTGATGGCTACTGCTTCTCTCTCCCAAGCCCTACGATCACAGGTATGTGTTGACTTGACTATGAGTGCATTTTGAATGCATTTGTCTTGATTTAGATTTTTATGTGATTTTCATGAACTGATCACAACAGGAAGTAGAATAGACAAGTGGAAAATTTATGTGTGTATCTGTGTGGGTGCTGTAAAATTTTATGCATTTATAAATTGTTTGATGGGGAAAGTACTTATTTTTAGAAATGAAAGTTTGATAGGTTCATTATCGAAATAACACAGTTACTCTGTCCATTAATTGGTAGCCCTTAAACTTAGCTTTTTCTGTTGCTGTGCTTCTAGAGGAGTGCTGTAATTCCTGTTAGACAGTTAAGATAGAGGCTGCACTTAGAAATGTTAAATGAGTACAGTGTTTGCTCATGCCTTATGCAAACACTTTAAAGGCTGTATTGAAAGTCTCTTAAGCACCTTTCCTGGCCTCTATAATTAGAGCAAACAATGTGAATTTTAACCCCATTATGTAAGCTCAGAGAATAGTTCATATTTTAATTT